GGTGGGAGGGTAGACTGGTCCAACCACTGTGGAAATCGGTGTGAGGATTCCTCAAAAAACTAGAATTCAAATCCCACTGAGCCCATCTATTCCCCTCCTGGGTATTTTTCCAGAAGAACTGACAACCTTATATCACAATGATATGTGTACACCCATGTTTGTAGCAGTGCAATTTGTTATAGCTAAATCTTGGAAACAACCCAAATGCCCATCAGTTGAGGAATAAATACAAAATTGTGTGGTATTTTTGTACAATGGAGTAATACTCAGCTATAAAAAGAATAAACTCAAGGCTTGTATAGGTAAATGGATATAACTAGAGGCTATGCTCATAAGTGAAATAAAACAGACCTGCATGTACATACATTGCATTACCACTCTGGTGTAAGAACCTGAAAGAATAAATAAAATCAGAAAGTTACAATAGATAAGACAATAGGAAAGACACTGTTCAAAGGGAAGGAACAACTGGGATGAGGGAAAAGAAAAAAGAAAGCAAGAAATAAGGGAAAACACATATGTGTATATATACAGAATAGCTTGGATAATTGCACTGCTGATTTCTACTGGTCTATTGAAAGGAATAGTTAATGCTTACATATTTTTTTCTTTTTAATTTTTTTACCAATTTTCTTTCCTTGACCAAAATTTTGCATGCCTGTAGCTGGCAATCTGAACAACTAATTTGAAGACAACAATACGGTATGCAATATAACTACCATTGTTGAATTCCTATCGTTTTGTTTAATGAAAGTCTGCGTCGTTTCTATTTTTTTATTATTTTTTATTCTCTTTTAAAAAATAAATGAAAGCACTAGATCCTGCTTGCTTTACAGAATCAGAGTTCTTTCATTTGTTCTGTCCTTATAGCAAATGCATCATTACTGTCCCCATATTCCACACATGGAAAAAAATAAGAATTAGAGTCATTAAAACTGGACCAAGGTCACTGGCTGAGTAATGGCCTAGCCAGTTGCCAAGCTCCGGTGGGTAAACTCCAGTGCCCAAGCTATTTCTCCCTGTGCCACATACTCCCTTTCTGCTGGAAGCAATCTATGGTGTTCCTGCCATCTGCTTGATGACAGGGAAAAAGCCTGAGCCTACAACCTCTTTCCACTGATCATGCATAATAGAAAGGGGTATGTGGTGCAGCAGAAGGAACACAGGCTTTGAAATCACACAGACCTGAGATCGTGCCCCTGTTTGACACTTCCTACCTGTGACCTTAGATAAGGCTCTCTGCATCTATTTCCTCACTTGCCTAACCCCACGCTGACTCTGAAGGTTACGAGTGATAATGTGTGGGGATTCTGGCCTCAGAGCCCCCCCCAAACCACCCACCTCCCTGCATGCACTTAAACATACATTTTCTTGACCACAAAGAAGTGCTAGACATGCACAGGATGTTTGTCTTTGTTCCGGAAGGCTGTCTGCACTTCCTGGGCTGTGTCATAGCAGTTACTTAGTAGACACCAAGGGCAGAATCACACACAAAGTGGGATCTCTAGGTAAAGACCACCTTCCCTCCAACTCCGAGCACTCGCCCTGGGAGCTGGCAGGCGCTGCAACTGCAGTTCTGTTAATGAGGTTGCCAGGCACTGTGGTGCCAGAGACCAGCGGGGCGTGAAATCATTACTGACACCGCCAACTCAGACTAAATGAGACCCAAGTTTCAGTTGGGAATGCTATAAAACAAATCAATATCTTAGAAATGCTTACTTCATGAATTAGGGACGAATTGGCTTAGCTTTAAAGATTTGTTTGTCCCTTTCAAAAAAAATCTATTATTCAACTTAAAACTCACTGGAAAGTAGTATTTATATGCTACTGTTTCGAAACCTGTAGTTAAGGTTGAGTGTGAGATTAAGCCTGTAATCTCAACACTCTGGGAAGCTAAAGCAGGAAGATCACAAGTTTGAGCCCAAATTGTCATTTCAGTATTTATCTTATGTTTTACTCTTAGTCCTTCTTTGCTATCATGAAAACTTTTTCTTAGTTCAATTGTTTTGAAACATTTAATTTTTAATGAATTAGTATTTAATTTTCTGAATATTGCTTAATC